TGCAGGCTGCAACAAGTGGCAGGTGGGTGAGAGCTCCCTCTTTAGGGCTTCCTGACTCCATTTAAGATGAGGTTTCTTTCATTTTCACATTTCCCTCTTTGATCACCATCTTTCCTTGAAAGCATTGCTGATCAAGAGTCAGGTTTTCCAGGCTTCCCTGGTGGTGCAGTGGTTGGGAGTCCGCCTGCTGATGCAGGGAACACGGGTTCATGCCCCGGTCTGGGAGGATCCTGTTCATGCTGCGGAGCGGCTGGGCCTGTGAGCCATGGCTGCTGAGCCTGTGCGTCCGGAGCCTGTGATCCACAGCGGGGGAGGCCACAGCAGTGAGAGGCCTGCGTACCTTTTCCGCATTTAGAGATTTTGTCCCTCCAGGAAGGAGCTTTCCTGGTTGTCCTGCCCCACGTTGGAGGGAAAGTGCAGACTGGAAACCACTGAGGCCACATTTGAGGGAAAAAGAAAAGTAGGAGGGATAACTCTCAGGCATTTCCCATCTAAAGTCTTTATCTTATCAAGGCCATAAACACTGGAGATCATTTTAAAGTGCTGAGCTAGTATCACCCTTTTTGTGTTACTGAAACAAACTTGGATCCACTCACCCATGCACAGTAAAGCAAATCTACAGACAACAGGTTGTGATGAAGGAAAGTACAGTGCTTATTGCAGAGCACCAAGCAAGGAGTCCAGGCAGCTAATGCTTAATAGACCCGAACTTCCTGATGGCTTTCAGGAAAAGGTCTTTAAAGATAGGGTGATGGAGGGGAGTTGTGGGGTGCATGCTCAACTCATGGACATTCTTCTGATTGGTTGGTAGTGAGGTAATTGGGAGTCAACATCATCAACCTTCTGGTTCCCAAATGGTCTGGGGTCTATGTGCTTGTGGGCAGCAGAAGTTAACTTCATCCACCTGGTGGGGATTTCATTATCTGCAAAATAGGTCAAAGGATATGGCTCAGAATATTAGCTATAGCCCTTGAGGAGGAACTAAAGGCCCTTGACTTTGTTTAATGGCTACTATTATTATTTTGTCTTGCTTGAGTGTCTTCCTTTCTTTATGCATTTTCTCACTTCTTTGATTAAATTTATTCTTTGGAACTCAGGGAAGACCTAAGAGGCTCAAGTTTTCCTACAGATGAGAGGCAGGTGGAGGACATGCCAGGGAGAGTGTGTGTGTGGGGGTGAGGGGGTCTGTCCCCAAAAGGCCCCATAGGGTCCTGTTCAGTTACATTGGGTATATGTCATTTTTACAAAGACTTCAGGGGCACAAAGCTTAAAATGATTATGCAAAGCACAGTTAAAGTAATAAGACAAGTTCAGTTTGCATGATGGTTCTGCACCAGGAGCCTAAATCTGAAGGTAATGCTAAATAGGTTAAAAAAAGAGGGTGGGGGTGATCAGGTGAAATTTGTGTAACCAGTGGACTAGTTCCCTGATCTTGTATAATTGAGTTTTTGTCTCTCCAGAGGCATTTAACTATGTGTAACTGGTGGTATTTGCTATTGAAAAAAATGCCTTCTTGTTCAGCAAGTAGGTAATCAAGGGCTATGCGATTTTCCAAAACTATTGATACTTTAGCTAATGAGTCAAGTGATCCTTGTTAGGTTGCTATTGCTTTGGCTGTGGAATTGACTAGCTCTCCTAATGTTCGGAAAGATTTTTAATCATGCATTCACTGGAACTTATTCCGACCCAGAGGAGAAAGGCTCTCCCTTTGGAGGCAAACTCAGAGTCAGGTAGGCCTCCTGGAAGTTCTCTTTTAAGGAGGCTTAATGGAGTGGGCCAATGGAAGGCTTCAAACATCTTACTCTGTAGCTGATGCCAAGGGGTTGCCGAGTGAAATTAGCAGTAGCACTTGGGACAAGCGAAAAAATTTGTTACCGGATGGACTAAAGGGTCACCATTGTCATGAATGGATTGAAGTTTCTGGTGGCAAACACAACAATTAGGTAAGTGTCCCCCTTTTGTAACAGATTGAAAATGCAGATAAGAGCACTGTCTTTCCAAGAAGAGGGAGAGGATAAGGCAAGAAGTAATAGAGGAAAAAGGTACACAGGCCTGATCCAGTCATTTTGGGAAGAAAGATGTGTCCTTCAGCAGTTTCCTTCAATTCCTGATCAGTTTGATTCAGCAGTCTCCAGTGCTTTTTATAGGATGGGATGCCGGGTGGAATCTTCTTTAGCTGTGAGATGTTTACCCAAGGTTTGAGTCTCTTTGATGTTTTGTTGCATCTGGGTAGTGAGGGGGACCTTGGTGCAGTCCTTTCCAAGGAAATTCAAAGGCAACCTTTGTTCTTATTGATTCCAAATCAGAAGGGTTGGAGAAAATTGGAAACATTAGTTTGGAGATTTGTAGTCAGATATTAGGGAAACAAGACTTTAGGATCCTGTCCAGCTTATAGATATATAACAAAACCTTAAAGAAAATTAACAGGACAAGAATCTAATATCTACAAAGGTGCAAACATAATTTCTCTCTCCATAACTATCCCCCTTTTATCAAAAGTAATCATAGTAAAACTAATTTGTTTGTATTAAATTTGGCTTGATTATTTACATAAATGCAGTAAGAATAGTGATTGACCATATAAACTCTTTTTAAGGTTACTTTGCTGGAAACTTACAAGCAAGGTACCAGGCTTATTTTTCCAAGAAGTTCCTTAAAATTGGTCATATCTGAGTCTATGTAGCTCTCAAATATTACATTCCAGTCAAAGCCTTGGCAATGTAGTCAGTATTTCCAATTGTATCCTATTATAAGAAGAACAGGTTCTCACTGAATTCAAGTAAATAACTAACTGTACTGTCAGGAAAAAATATTTAAGAGCTTCCGAATTCTGGAAGGATCAGGTAGGAAAAGATAAATATTTCATCTTTGTTTACAATTGCTGTAAGTCACAGATGCTCAAGAGAAAACGTTTCCTTAAATCTGGAAAAGTAAACATTAGGGGACTAACATAAGAAGTCATAAAAATTATAATCATCCTCAAAAAGACTTCATTCAGAAAAGTAAAACATTAGGGAACTAGCATAAAAAATCATAAAAATTATAATCATCCTCATTTGTTCATTCAGCCTCCTGTAAATCTTGTTGATCTTGATCTTGGGTTAGCAGCTTTATGAATCAATCAATTTTCCATTAAAGTTTTAGAAACTTTTACCCAGTTCAGTGTTATGAACTTAAAGTTATCAGAAACCTGCATTCTAGAGCAGTGGTCCCCAACCTTTTTGGCACCAGGGACTGGTTTTGTGGAAGACAATTTTTTTCTCATGGACCAGGGTTGGGTGGGGAGGATGCTTCAGGCGGTAACGTGAGCAATGGGGAGCGGCAGATGAAGTTTCGCAGGCTCCCCTGCCGCTCACCTCCCACTGTGCAGCCTGGGGGGGGGTTGGGGACCCCTGTTCTAGAGTATTTGTTAGGGTCTTTTCCAGGAATCTCCTTGAAGACGAAGCATTTTTATAGGAATATTCTCGTAAAGCATCAGAGTAAAACAGTAACTCTCTGTGAATGACAAAAGACTTAAATGTCTGTTATTAAAGATCCAATAAGAGTCCATTATTATGGAATTGACATGGGAATTTGGTAAGTTCTATGACACACATTTTAAGATAATAACTAGAATTATGAATGATAATACACCAGAACATATCAAGATTTCTAGGAATGTCATAATTTCTGAAACATTTATGACATATACAGATGCAATGTAAAGAAGGCTTAGTATTATTTATTTGACAATGCTTCCCATGTAATTTCCCAAATAAGCCTAATTAGTTTAATATCTCCTTTTTAATAAAGAGAGAGAACAGATCCTTCAAGATGCTCCAGAGGCCCTCCAAAAAAATCCCAAAGTTAGTTTAAGGTCAAAAAGACTTCATTTATAGTTTGATTCTTGGGAAGTTTTTAAAAAATATCAAAAATTTTGGACATGACTAAATTGGATCACAGATCATTATAAAATAATATTTATTCATTTAACTAAAGTGGCAAAAAGATTTCAAAGGTTAGAGCATTGTTGCTGGGGCAGGGAGGAATCTGCCTTCTTTTTTTTAAAAGTAGGAGATAAAATTCCTGTGTGAAAAATGTCTTCCCTTATCCCAGAAGAAGAGTAATATTCTTATCTTCCTTGTTCCTCTGGTTATGCAATCTGCTAGGAATGGTACCTGCACGACAGCTACCCCGTTGGGGCTTCCTGACTCCACTTAAAATGAGCCTAATTTATTTTCACAGTATACTTGGGAATCTAGCGACAACTGAAACGCTAAACACTACAGAAAGGACCTGGGCTCTGGACTCAGACCATCTAGGTACCAATTCATCCCTCACTGGAGGAAGTTCACTAACTTTTAAACCCTGTAAAATAAGGATAAGGTAGTATTACCTACCTCATATGGTTGTGGGAATTAAAAGTGTATTATAGTATTCGGCATATATTGTATGACATGGGCAATTCATTCCTTCTCTCTGAACTTCTGTTACTAATATGTAAAATGAGAAGGTATAGGACTCTACGTGTTCTCTACATTTTCAGGCCTAATGTCCTCTACATTACTGCTTTACTTTCGAGTTTGCCTGTTCCCATCTCTGTTCTTACTTCCAGAGCTTTACTTTCCAAATTATAAATCTATAGTACGTTTCAATTTCATCCCATTTGTATTTTGAAATTGCACCCTTTGTATTTTGTACACACTATCTCATCCCTTAATAAAAACAAATTAAAAATTATTTAAATATGAACATTTTCAGAGACTGAAACGTGCAGATGGCAGACACCAAATCACTGGTATACGTCGCTTCCGCCAGAGCGCTGCCGGGAGTTGTAGTCTGACGCACAGGCACACACCTCCCCGCCTCTCCAGTTTGAAAAGCGGGAGGACGGGCGGGTGGGCGGGGCGTTGAGGCTGAAGCGCGCTCGAAGCCCCGCCCCCTCCCCTTTCCGCTCGCCCGGTTCGCCCTGGAGGGGCGCGCCCGGCCGTGGAAGGGGCGTGGTCTTTCCCTGAGGGGCGGTGCTGCCGAGGCCGGCGTCCTCCGGGAGGTCCTGATTCCCCCCGCGCCGAGGGCGGCGGGAGCGCGGGGCGGGCCTGGCGGGAGGGTGGCGACCCGGCAGGCGGGGCGGGGGCGGGTTGGCTCTGGCTCCTTCTTCCTCCGCATGTGGCTGGCGGCCGCAGAGCAGTTCAGTTCGCGCACTCCTGCCCGCCCGCGTCCCCTTCGGGCTCTCGTCGCGTCTCTGGAGCCATGGCGTTCGCAGAGACCAACCCGGCGGCATCCTCCTTGCCCAACGGCGACTGCGGCCGCCCCAGGGCGCGGCCCGGAGGGAACCGGGTGACGGTGGTGCTCGGCGCGCAGTGGGGCGACGAAGGCAAGGGGAAGGTGGTGGATCTGCTGGCGCAGGACGCAGACATCGTGTGCCGCTGCCAGGTGAGGCGGCCGGGCTCTGATGGGAAGCCGGCCCCTGAGCTCGGGCCCAGAACTCGCATTCACCGTCCAAAATAAGGTGTCACCTTGAGGTTCTTTCCTTTTATTATGAGCTGCGGCGACGTGGAGAAATGGCGGGAGGTCGGAGACCCCTGCCCTGGGGCCTTGGGCTGAGGGCTCGGGGTGGCTCAGGAGGAAGATGCGGCTTGACGGGGAGCCTTTGAGATGCGCGATGCCTGGGGAGTTGCAGTTCTCGGTCTGGGGACAAGTGCTCAAACCCAGGACTGAGGCCGGGGTGGAGGTGGGTTACTGTTCGAATTTGAGGAGCTACCGCCCGAGGCCTGCTGGCGACTCCGGGCGGAGACCCTACGGGGCCGCAAAACCTTCCCCATCATCACCCATCCGCTCAGGGAGACCAAGTGGGCCGAAACGCCCTGAAATCCAGACTCACCACGTCCCCACCTGCAGGCCCCGAGCTTGCAGAGCTTTGCCACCTCCGGGCCACTTTGTTGACATGAGAACCCACCTCCGGGGCTTAGGGCTGTTTGATGACTGTTTAGTGTCCCCGGTTTTTTTACTCGGTACCCGGTATACTAAGGGGAGATTAATTTTACATGTTGGTCCCAGAGGTGGGAATCCCACCCAGCTCTTTTACGATTGAGGCAAGTGAAATACACGAGTGTCAAATCTAGTATTTAGAAATATTTACAGTGTTACGCTCACATCTAGAGTGAACTTTCGGGAAATGGAATGGTAAGGTACTTCCTACCGGGAGACACGTGGTTTTCACTGTAAGCTTTCTTCCTATTTGTCGTTTGCTTTGAAGCAGCCTAGAGGCTAGGCCTTTGTAAAGGCTCTTAGATAACTGTTACCAATTTTAAAATTCGAAATAGTTGAGCAATAACTACTTTCAAAACGAATGGTAGTGTAATATCTGAAGTTAACCACTGCCTGTTTAGGTTGCAAGAATGTTTCTTCTTCATGAACTTACCTGGCACAATATGATGATGCTGTGTACATTCTAACAAGTTCATAGGCCCACTTGATTGGAAGTTTTCTACCTAAAATTGAGTACCATTTGAGCATGCAGAAAAGGTAATCGTAGGCACATCAAAAGTTAAATAAAAATCTTGTTTTTTGCGTGCAAAAATCCATCCTGCCCGTTCCTTGGTTAAGACAGCTGTTGCACCAGTTGCCTCTTAGTATTACCACTAGCACCACCACCAGCACCTCCCTTCCAGCCTTCTATTCCTCCACCCCTCTGGCAACACGCATACCTTACTTAATAACACCCCTAAAGGGGTTGCCTCACACTGCCTTAGGAGCTGCTCCAGAAGGCTGGCCTTCACCTTCCTTTTGTCTTAAAATCAGATCTGGCTGTGCTGTGGGGAAAGAAGTATGAAAATATACCTAACTCTTTCTGGGTAGGAGGGGAGAGAGGCTGAGACCTGTTTATTTACTTCACTGTCATTTCTGACATCTTCCTTACACAGAAATAGTAGTGCTCGGGATCAGCTACATTATGGCTTGTAAGAAGGTTTTGGGAATGTGACCATTTTGCCTTTATTCTGGAAGATCCTCAGTTTTAACATCCCTTTGAAACGTAGTAGAATTAGTTTGTTGATTGGAGAAGGTGCTACTGTGTTACTGTAAAAAGTAATCTTGAAGGAGGTCATGGACCAATCTGATCTGATGCCCTTGGAAAGTCTAGAGAGAAGTGACGGAGAAGGAGCCAAGTTTTGCTTTAAAATGTTAGCTGAGGGCTTCCCTGGTGGCGCAGTAGTTGAGAGTCCGTCTGCCGATGCAGGGGACACGGGTTCGTGCCCCGGTCTGGGAAGATCCCACATGCTGCGGAGCGGCTGGGCCCGTGAGCCATGGCCGCTGAGCCTGCGTGTCCGGAGCCTGTGCTCCGCAACGGGAGAGACCGCAACAGTGAGAGGCCCGCGCGCCGCAAAACAAACAAACAAACAAAATGTTAGCTGAAGTTAGAGAAGAAACATATGAGCAGACTTGTTAGGCAGACTTTACTCACCGGGAAAGTTTTGACTTACTACCTTCCTTATATAATTTAAAAAGTGTTGTATTCTTCTAGTGCCTTTTAAGAGCTCATCATTAGGATTCTTACGTCTTGTTAGTGCAGGCAGATAAGTAATGAATAGACTTAAGAATATCCCTTGTGATTCACCTTGGTAACTTTATATCATCTGGTCAGTCCTAGTAAGCTGACATCTACTTAGTGAAGTTCTCCTGACTTATAAAATTGATGGTTATGGAATGTTGAAATTCTTAATAAGTATGTATAGAGAGCTGGGAAAAGTCAACTTTAGGAAAAACATTTTGAGCTTGAATTGCCATGTTTGATGATTCAAATTTTGTGTATTATTGAAAATAATATGCACTTTGTTAGAGTTTAAGCAGTATATTTTTGTCATATTCATGCCATAATCTCAGGTTTTATACAGTCTTTCTCCAGAAGTGGTATACACATAATGTATCTCTAATGGAATCATAAAATAAGGAATTTTTTCCAGTAAAAATACAGTTTTTTTAAAAAGAAAAGCTGACACTGCATTTAACTATATATTTTAATATTTAAAATGCCTGTTTGGAAAGAATATAAGCAAAACTAGTGGCATTTTCATCATCATAGCACTTAAGACCTGTATTTTAGTTTCAAGATTTATAGGAAGTTACTTATAACTTGTTAGATACACTAGATCCTTAAATAAGTGTGTAGGACTTGCATGAAAGGATGACTTAATTTTAAATCGATAGGTCTTTTAAGAAAAAGAGAAGAATTAAGTATAGGACCAATTCCTGGCACAGTTCATTCATCCAACAATCACATAATGAATATCTACAGGGGACCACTTAGCCCCAGAGTTAAAAGCTGAAAAAGGCAGGGCTTGTGCCCACAGGGAGCTTATAGTCTAGTGGACAACTGTTTCTTAAACAAGTATTTCCCAGGGTGGGGATAGAGAAGGGGACTAGTACAGGTTTTTCCGAAGGGTTAAAGTATGGGAATAGGAAGCCTCCTTCCTGGCAACACAAAAATAGTTTTATTAGGAGAATATTACTGGGTTTTTTTCTCCCCAGATACTCTCAAAGTAAACTATTATTCTTTATTTTCTTTATTTTTTTGAGTAGAAACTACAGAGATTTTAACTATTGTACTTTATACCAGACCTTAAGCATGGGCTTATTTATTGTTCTGGAGAAAGTAAAGCTTGGTAGTCTCAGCTACAACTACAGGCATGAAGTTGCCTGTAATCAGGAATAGGTAGAAGAGTATTTCTTTGTGTTTTTTCCCCAGGGCTTTAAAGTTAATATAAAGAGAAAATCTTAACTAAAATTAATTAGAAAGGGAAAGTATATCCTGTCACTTGCTATATAAAGTTGGCCATAAAAGTAAACACAATGAAAAAAAATGTTAATTTATAGCTAGATGCTGGTATTTGCTGAAGGCTCTGAAACCAGCTATTAGCAAGTGATAGAGAAATGTAAAAGACGTACCAGCCGCAACTGAGGCGTTCTCCTTGAAATAATCAGAAAGGTTGAAAGATAATTTAAAAGAGAATAATTTCAGTGTTTTTTAATGCCTTGACCTTATACAGCTAAAATTATCTTCTAAACCACTTCCCATAATTTTGAAGATGGTGGAGAATTAGCATTTAAGGTAAGCCATTCTTCCAGTGTTATAACAATTGCTATTTCTGTGTCTCCTATCAGGATTGTTTTTTATGTGTAGTATTTCCCAAGTGCCTACATAAGTGTATACCAGAGTGTGGTGTACTTGGTTAACTCCTGCTTTCTCGGATTACTGTGTTTTCCCTACTAGAATGTACGTTTTCTCAAAAAGAGGACTTGTTCCTTTTTTGTTTTCTTCCATAGCATCCAGTACTGTGTGAGGCAGAGAGGAAGTAAATACTCAACAAATATTTATTGGGTGACCTGGATCACCCTTAGAAATTTCTGTGAATTCAATAGTTTAGCCCTTTCCTGTATTATTTTAATATACCCCTAGACAATTTAATTGACTATTGGCATGAGTTTAACGTGGAATCCCCAACTTTCCTTGGATTAACATTTGTTAAGTAGTATTTTTAGCTAGTATTTTTCACGTACCATTATGTTCAAAGGCTTTACTAGTTTATTTTAGACTTATTTCTTGTATCTATGAGAAAATAGATAACTGATAATTGTATCATTTTTGTGTATTTCCTCAGCAAATTTCAGTTGAATGCTCTGTGATTCTAGTAAATAGTTTTTCCTTGTTGAGGGCAGTAGATCTCAAAGTTTGGTCGATGAGGATGTCTCAAGTTGTTCACTATTTAAACTTATTGTATTAGTGTATATAATATACCATTATCTCTATTTTTGAGACATATATTTTTTAAATTATATGAGGTTATCTCAGTATCAGATCAATATTATTCTGTTTCTTTAATTTTGGTGAGAACGGGTGGGTTAGTTCGTTACTTTTAAGTATCTCTAGGAAAAACTTTTGCCTAGAACAAATCTAGAGTGAATTGGTGAATTGATAATATAGTTAATAGCTTACTTACTGTAACTGAATACAAATCTACTTATAGTATCTTTTGGGGACTAGGTCAGATTTTGATTAATGTGGTTGAGCTACATACCAATAAGTGAAGACTGGTGATATTAGAATACTTTTATCTAACGTCAAAGGGATATTGAGGTATTCAGTATTATCTGGGGAAAGCAATTGAAAAGAACAGTAAGTATGTATAGCACAGGGAAGTATACTCAATATTTTGTAATAACCTATAAGGGGAAAAGGAATCTGAAAAAAATATATATATGTATGGGACTTCCCCGGTGTCACAGTGGTTAAGAATCCGCCTGCCAATGCAGGGGACATGGGTTCGATCCCTGGTCTGGGAAGATCCTACATGCCACGGAGCAACTAAGCCTGTGTGCCACAACTACTGAGCCTGCTCTCTGGAGCCCACGAGCCACAACTACTGAAGCCCGTTCGC